TGGAGCCTCTAGTGGGAGAGGAAGGCTGTCTATCTGACGAGTTTGTATTTAAGAATTTTAAAACCTTTTTTGATGTTCTTGAATGCTTCCATTAAATAGTCCTGTAATTTTTTTTTTTCAATTTGGTTTTACTATTATGGGGATGTTTTAAAATAAGTGCATTATTTTTCTTTTAATATTTTTATAGACAATTCCTATTCAACAGAGGAGAACAATTCCACTTTCTTCTGGAATTAGATCATCGGCCCTTCCTGCAGATTATCTGCTTGAAATTAACAAAATTTTACTCAGTATGGATAATGTCGAATTATCACTTAATGTTCCTGAGCTAAGTACCACTGTCTATGAAGACATCTCTTTTCAGGAAGGCTCTCTGAAGGTAAATTTCCATGCACTGTTTTGCAGTGGCCACAGTTAATAGAGAAACAAAGCAAGGATTTTCATTCATCCTCCCTCCCTTAAGATAGGTCTCCTTTTAGTGCCCAGGCTGATACTGTAGTTAAAGCCATCTTGTCTGCCGCAGAAGAGCTCTGATTGCAGCCATGAGCCACCCGCCTGGCTAGAAGTTGCTATTGTATTTACTTAGATGGTCTCTATCTTTGAAAATTTGCACCAAGTTATTTAGTGTTTAAGTAATAGAAATTTACAATATTCATCAAATACAACACATTTTTTCAACTTTTTAAAAACTAGGTGTGGATTTGTTTTTGAATGCACAGTTATTTCCAAAATCAGAGACCTTATCTTAATCATATGTGAACTTGATTGTCATTTGTGTCAGATGATGTCAGATCATCCATACTGATTCAGGATTGGCCAATTTTTGAGGTATGGCTTTGGCATACTGATTGGAAGTTAAGGTATTGTGTTCTTTCAAAGTTTTTTTTTTTCTCATATAGATGTTTATAATAAAATCACTGATAAATTTAATACATTTGATCTGTTTGATAACTGTTTTCTCTCATTATTTATGTTACTAGGTATTTAAAACCTATAAATAATTTCAGCTCTAAACACTTCCTACCTTTCATAGAATGTTATTAAAACTTTTCATGTGACTTGTCTTTAAGCCACTTGGTACGCCAGGAATGGTAGTTTCCTGTGCTGTTAGTAGGATAGCAGTCCTCACATTTTGGTCCACCTGCAGCATTTATACAGAAAGGTTTCCCGTTTTCCTGAGCAGCAGTGATTGGCCACACTATTATTTTAATGAATGTTATACATATAAGCTTTCGTTTGTGTTTCCACTGTTTTTGTTATTTTTCTGGGCTCCGCTAATATGTGATGGTATGTTTTTAGAATATCAAAGATCAGCTGGACAGACTTGGAGAACAGATTGCAGTTGTTCATGAAAAGCAGCCAGATGTCATTCTTGAAGCCTCTGGTTCCGAAGCTATTCAGATCCGGGACACACTTGCTCAGCTGAATGCAAAGTGGGACAGAGTGAATAGAGTGTACAGTGATCGGAAGGGGTATGTGTGTGTATGGAATGAACATTTAACTTTAAACAACATGCTTATGTTCATGGTACATGGAAAGAGTCCATCTGTGCATTCAGATAAATGAAAATATTTTTCACATCTTTGTCATAGGACCTGTTTCATAGAGATGAACTTAGTTCCTTAAAGGTGATTGCGTGAACACTACCATTTACAACATAGTATCTTAACAGGGTGGAACACTTTTAATTTTTAGCATAAAGCAGTGTGTCTCCTTTCTTTAAGAAATTTAAAAAAGGATTTTTATTAATGTTCTGTTCCTCTTGACACCCAGGTATCAATGGGAGTAAAGAAGAGAGGCAGCTGTGGATGATTGGAATCCGTATATAATCCCAAATCTTTTCTTTTTTTAAAATAACCTTCTCTTTAATAGAATGTTTTTGAGCATTCTTTTCAAACTAGACTGAGCAGGCTGGTGAAGAGGTGAAAAGGAAAATGGTGTACTGGGTAGCTTGTTGTCAGCTGGACACACCTGGGTAGAGGGAACCTCAGCTGAGGAATATCTTCTGTTGGATTGGCCTGTAGTCATGTCTGTGGAGATTTTCTTGATGGTTGAGTGATGTGGAAGGGCTGTTGTGGGCAGTGTCACCCATGGGCAGGTGGTTTTGTGTTGTATAAGAAAGCAGGCTGAACACAGGCCAGAGGAGCACAATAAGTAATGTTCCTTCGTGGTCTGTGCGTCAGCTCCTGCCTCCAGGTTCCTGCCCTGAGTTCCTGCCTTGGCTTCCCTCGATGATGAACCATGCTGTAAGCCATATGAAACCTTTCCTTCCCAAGTTGGTTTGGTCATTGTTTTATCACAACAATAGAAAGTAACTAAAACAGAAATTGGAAGCAGACAGAGACAGGAAATCTGATAAGCCTTACAATCTTTCAAAGCCTGCCCCCAGTGACATGCTTCCTCCAGCATGACCATACCTCCTAAAAGTTTCTTGACCCTCTCCTGCCACAAACTGGGGACCAAGTGTCCAAACCCCTGGGGGCCATTCCTTCAAACCACCACAATGGGTAAGGCTTTTTCCATTAGCTTTGAAAGTAGTGGAATTTCAGATACAACGTGAGACAGTCCAATATAAAAACACTGTGTCAGAAGGAAGTTAAGTATCACAGAGTAATACATTGGAAAACTTCAGAGAGACAAAAACTAGATGTCATATTGTTTAAAAAAATTATTTAGCCTATATGTTTCCTGTGATTGTTCAATCATTGGATAGCCTCTGACGACCTTTGTTTTTTTGTGCAGATTTCAGAGAATTTCTTTCGTATATATACATATTTTTGTTGGACTTTCTATCTTAGTTACTTTTGTCCTTGTTGACACAAAATACCTGACCAAAACAACTTAAGGAAGGAAGGGTTTATTCTGGTTTACAGTTTCAGGGTTCATCATGACAGAGACAACATGGTGGCAGATACAAGAAGCTGACTGTCCACATTATATCAGCAGTCAGGAAGCAAAGAGAACAGGAAGTTAGGCTAGACTGTAAAACGTCAAGGCCTGCCCCCGGTGCTCTGCTTCTACTGAGGCCACATCTCCTCAGTAGGTTCCACAACCTTCACAAACAGCACCACCGTCTGGGGACCTACTATTCAAACACATGAGCCTAGGGGGACATTTCACATTCAAACCAACTGACACTTGGTTATTAGATGAAGGCAGTTTTGGGGGTGGGAATAAGATTTTAAGGCTCTGGATTATGTGTCATGAATTTGGTTACTGTACCCTGCTGGTGGTCTTTGTAAACTGTCCTTTTTGAACCTGACTGACATTGGCAGGAATATTTTACCACACAATTTTATTTTTCTTTGTCAGTAAGATTGTAGTGCTCTTTTATTTGTACTACTGTGGGTCCGTTTTTAAATGATGGGATTACTACTTACTTTGCAAAACTTTTTTCTTCCTTGAAGATATTAATCATTTATACTGTTTATTTAATATTCACAGACTTTTTTGTGCTCCTTAATTTCCTAAGGTGCTTTTTGACATGCAGTAATTTTATAACATTATATCTTATATTCATTTTATGATTACAGAAAGTTAATGTGAAACAAATATCTATGTGTTACATTTTACCCACATAAATAATATTTGTATATATAAAGCAATCTTTAGTTGATTTTAAATTTACATTAGTAGTTAATCCATCGGAATTTTATTTTGGTGTGTATTTTGTGTTAGGGCCCCAACTCAGTAGCTGTATATATCAATTCTAGTACCATAAGCAGAATCTAAGCATCTCTACTTTTTGGAGGATCCTTAGGCAGCTTTTTATGCAACCATAGTTAAGTACTGACAGCTCTGTTTTGCTTTACTTCTCTTCAGTGAATAACCAATTCCCCTAATATCTTTTCATTGCCCTTATTGTTGGTGATAACTTCAAACATTTCTATTTCATATTTATTTAGTTCTGCTAATTATGCCTTACTAAATCGTTAATATTAGTCTTCATTTTTGATTTATAAATTTCTTTACTCAGTACACTAAAGTTTCCCTTAAATATTCTAGAATAATTATTTTTTTTCTTGGCCTTTGTTCTAACTCGAAAGTATTCTGGCAGTAAAACCATATACTTTCCAAGAGAATCGAATAATTAATCATGTTTTCTGTTTCATAGTACTTAAATGATAAGTGTGTAAATCTGGGTGGATTCACAGGCTTGTAGCTAATCAAATTTGACTTTTGAAGTCAGAGAAGGCTGTCTCATTTCAGATATAAAAGCAGACGTGGGGAGAACAGATAGGGAGAGAGGGGGAAGAGAGTGAGAGAGAGCAAAGAGGAAGAGAGAGGGATAGAGGAGAGGAAGGAGAGGGGAGGGGAGGGGAGAAGAGGAGAAAAGACAAAAGGAGAGGAAGTGGAGAAAGAGAGAGGAGGAAGGAATGGGTAGGGTGGAGTTTGCAGACTGCTCTCTCTTTGGCATGATTCTTGTTTTTCAACTGGAAATCATTAACTGTGACAGTTGACCATGAATATGGGTTTTGTAGAGCCAGGAGTTGTGATTTCACTCAGTTGAGAACCTTCAGTTTTAATGAGATCTGTATTTTTTTTAATTTTATTTATTATTTTTGTTTTATGTGTATGAGTGTATTGCCTGCATGTATGTAAGTGAACCCATGTTGTGCAATATCCTCGGAGATCAGAAGGGGACATCAGATTCCCCTGGAATTGAAGTTAAGATGGTTGTCAGCTGCCATGTGGGTGCTGGGAATTGAACCAGGGTTCTCTGCAAGAACAGCTAGTGCTCTTAACCGTCTTAACTGAACCATCTCTCCAGCTCTTTTATTAATTAATTAATTTATTTATTTAGAATAATTGCATCCAGGTAGTTCTGCAAAGCTGGGCAGCCCGTTTAATTGTTTCTTTTTCTCTAGGTCTTTTGACAGGGCTGTGGAGGAGTGGAGGCAGTTCCACTGTGATCTCAGTGACCTCACACATTGGGTCTCAGAAGCTGAAGAGCTGCTGCTTGATACCTGTGCTCCCGATGGCAGCCTGGACCTGGAGAAAGCCAGGGCACACCAGCCGGTGAGCACTTCCTGCCGCAGGAACGGGACCTGCTGGAAAGGTTGCCTCTGCATTTAGCGTGTAGTTATTAAGATATATTTCAGAAGTAGGAACCAAATGTATATAGATCATTTGTAATTTTTGTTCCAGGTCTAGTTTCCGGTTTTAAAGTTCTAAGAAACATTGGTCATATACAATTTATAATCAAAGATATTTTTTTGGAGATGCTATGTAGCCCTGGCTGGCCTAGAACTCTGTATATAGCCCAGGTTGGCCTCAATAATCAGAATTTTGAAGAAATTAAAATTAAAAATGCTCTCAAATAGCTAATATGAAAAGCAATTGTCTTTAAAAACATTAAAAAACTTCCTTTCTAGAAATTTTATATTCAAAATAACACTTGAAAAATTTTATACTCAAGAGTATATCAAGGACAGAAAAATGTATGCACACTTTTCCTGCACTTTCTGTCCCTGAACATGTGCCATTTTACTTTGTGTACTTGCTAGTTATCATAAAAGTAAACTATTCTTTATCTATAGCGGGGCAAGTGCTCCTGTAAGATTCAGTTTGGAGAACATGTAACACAATAGCAAAGTCAGTTTTGTTGGTAGCAATAGATCTTTAAAAAGAATAATAGAAATCGGGCAAAATTCCAGTATTAACATTGTTAAAAGTGTTTCTTTTTTTAAGTTTCCAAGTATATTTTCTGTAGACAGTTCATGAGGAATCAAAATGCTTTTTTCTTTCTCATAAACAAGGTCATTTTTTTTTGTGTGTTATAGATAACGTGTTTATATTTGACTTTAAAGCATCCCTTTAATCTGTTACTTTAAAAAGAGTTTGCAGGATGAGGCAGTGTCTTAGTAAAATGCACACTGAGGTTTGTTTATACATGGCAGGACATAAAAGTTATATGGGCCAAATGCTTTTGTGTGTGTATTTTAAAAGATGCTTTTCAATACTTGTTTGGAAGAAGATGAGCAATTCCCTTTAATCAAATGTGAGTGGATGTAAACAGCTAATACTTATTTCATGTTATTAAACTGTACTATCTCACCATGTTTTGCCTAATGCTATTCATGAGGGTGGGTTTGATTTTGAGATAGCTTTTATTTCCTTGTGTCTCTGGAAATGTAATTAACTTATTTGAAAATGCCTTCTTATGAACATAAAATACCCTTCCAGAACTTTGTTCTCTAGCTCTTAAATGATGCTGTAGCATTTGGGTGGAATCTAGGGAGCGAAACACTTAAATTGAGTTGAGTGCTGGAATTCATCTTGAGTTGTGATCTATCATAGGAACTGGAAATGGGAATCAGCAACCACCAGCCCAGCATGACCGCTGTCAACCAAACTGGGGAGAGTATTGTGCAGCGACTCTGCCCCTATGATGGAAGCTTCCTGAAGGATAAGCTGGCAGGTTTAAACCAGCGCTGGGGTGCTGTTGTTACTGAGGTGAAGGATCGGCAGCCCAGGTAATTCAGCTATGTGTACTCGAGTAGATGGTTAGACATTTCATGTAAAATCACCCAGGATTCAGTCTGATCTGATGTTGTGATAGAAGTATTACTGACATTTATGTCTTCCACTGTCCGTGTTGTTTGTGGCTATTTTTAGACTGTCTGGAGAATCTTAGTTTTCTATTCAGATGTTCTAGAGAATCTCAGTTTTCTATTCAGATGTTTTGTGTATAAAAATCCTCAGGGGTTGGGGTGATATTTCAGTCAGTAAAGTGCTTGCTGTGCAAGCATGAAAACCCAAGTTCAGGTTTCTAGCACCCAGGTCAAATACTGGGCATGACAGCATGTGCCTGAACCCCAGCACTGGGGAAGTGGAGACAAGAGGATCCTGGGCCGGGTGGTCAGCCAGCCTGCCTGACTGAATCTGAGAGTGCCTAACTGAATTTAGACAGAGAATCTGTCTCAAGAAACTACAGTGGAAAGCTACTGAGGAAGACAGTTGATGTTGACTTTGGACCTACACTCACACATAGGCACACGCACATATGCACACAGTATGCATTCTCACAGACATGCAAAAACAAATGCATACACACAAGCACGTACACACAAAAATACATGAACACACATACTACACACAGACACCTAAACACTTGAACACATACACAAAAGCTGTATGCTCACAAATGCACACATATGATCCATGCACATACACATACAGACATAAACACATACACACAAACACTTGAACACACACTACACACATACACAGGAGCATACCATATGCAAGATCAGACATATGCCACACATAAACACATGAACACATAAGCACACAAGTACACATACAAGAACACAAGCATGTACATGCTGCACATATGTACATACATGAATACATGCATACGTGCATGCTAGGCACACACACAAATGCATTCAGTACACTACACATATGAACACCTGTACACATATTCCACATATATAGTTGCACACAGTATGCACGTGCAAACATACGTGAACACATGCATGCATATACCATACACATACACATGAACAAAATACACACAGGAATACATGCATACACATGCTATACATACATAAGCACACACATACATGTATATGCATGAATATATGCACATAGAGTACACACACCCACATATGTACATGCATGAACACAGACACTACCCAGGAACACAGGCATGCACACACTCCACACATGCATTCTTATGTGAATACATGCATATACATACATGAATACCTATGTATATATGCATGTGATATACACATGCATATACCCACATGAATACCTGCACTCAGATATACTATGCAGAGAAAGGGAAACTACATTTATTAATTTATTAATTTTGACTATTTATTATGCTATGTTGATGGTGAGAGTAACTTGAAGTGGCTCAAGGACACATTGGACTCCCAGTCTCAAGTTATTGATTCCTGACAGTCTCCATTAGCCATCCATCCTATTGTCAAGGCATGTGCTGCATCCCCATACACCAGCTGTCTACAAATAGTAAAGTTCCCCATCTACATAATAGAAATGCAGTGTTTACTTCATGTCAGATTATGCTACAATGCCCCTGGTTTTGTACATATGTATTTGCTCACCAGTGACTATAATATTCAATATTTTATGTATTTTATATTTAAAATTATTGGAAATTATTTTCTAAGACCAAGTTAGGATGTAATGAATTTTTACATTGCTTAGTATAGTCCATTTTACTAAAGATTTTGTGTGTGGTTATTGGTAGTTTAGAGTTAAGAAGTTCAAGATATTTTTTCTGATAATTTTAACTCTGCAGACGATAAGTTATTTCATATTAATAATAATACAGCACAAAATATTCAGGTATGATATGGCCTGTGGTTTCTTTGTATTTCAACTTTTTATGTTTGGCAAGAGACAAATTCATTGATAAATTACCCCGGGACAGAGAACATATTTGGTACTTTACACACTTGGGCATACTTAATCCTCATATTTACTCTCCGAGAAAACTCTTAGTGTCATTGTACAGCTTTGGAAACTGAGACTAAGAGACGAGAGGTTAAGTAACTTGCCCCAGGTTTCGTCGAATGTGATGATGCTAACTTAGAGCTCTCAGTGTTGTGTTGCTCAGACCTGCCCCCCCCCCCAACTCCATAGCACTCTGGCCAAGGGTTCCTCTCTGCCAATGAAAGTACAGTGTCAGACAATTGTTGTGAGGTGCAAAGGAGACAGTATTTGGATAAGGTCTGTCTTGCTATTTGTAGTGAACACTTTTTTATAAAAGTTACTCCCGAGGTCACTCTCCAAGCATGGCATTACTGTATATTGGTAATTATCAACTGATTTAATTAATTTGATTGATAATTTCTGAGCCTTGTATTTAGCACTGAGAATACCAATAACAGGCAGGAACTCAGAGGTTAAGAAGATAGTGCTTAAAGGAGAAATTCAGTGTGGTTAAAGCAAGCATCCTATGAAGACACAATGTCACAGAGGCAGGCATGATGGGCCGTGGAATTTGGTATTAAGCTGCGTGCTGGGGCATTTGTAGCAATTTTCCATGAATTCTTTCTAGGTGAGTCAGTGTGTTGGTCAGTTTTCCATCACAGTAACAAATGGCTGAGATGTCAGCTTATAAAGATAACAGGTTTATTTGGGGGTCACAGTTTTAGAGGTGTCAGTCTGTGATGGCTTAGCCCCATTGTTTTGGCCTTGCGGTGGGACATCCTGAAGGGGTGCCTGGTAGAGCACATGGCTTACTTCATGGCAGGGGAGCAGAGAAAAAGGAAAAAGATGCTGACGTGCCAATTTGTCCTTTGGGGCAAATCTCCCATGGGCTGAAGACCTCCTACTAGGCCACCACTGCCCAGTAGCTTCTTGGGGCCCTAGAGGACTTCAGATCCATATCATACTGCTCCATTGTAATAGTAGACTTAAAGTATTATTACTACTATAAAATATTGTATTATCTGCAGAGTAGCCTCATGGGGCCCTGAGGCACTTCAGATCCAAATTGTGGTGTTCTTCTAGAGAAGAGATGTGAACTGGCAGGGGTGGGATGTGTGAGTTACCCTAGCCATGCGGAGGAGGGGATGAAGAGGACTCAGGATAGGAGGGGGAGATGTCTGGGAATGTACATGAAGTGCTCATGAATTTGCATGAAACATCCTTCTCAACTGCAATGGTGACTGCTCGGTTTCCTGAAGGAAAAACATACCCGCTGCAGTCACAGTATTAACAACAGATGCATAAATTAAGATTTTCAAATGGATCTCTATGGAGCATGGTACTCATTCTTTCCTAAATTAACAAGGTGACTTTAGTACATATTTTTATTCTGTTTTTGGAAGTGAAAAGAATAAGGAATCTCTTCCTTAGCATGTTGTATTTTGACATAAGTAATATTTGTTTTAATGAATTCACATTCATCCTCACTTCCATCCTGTAACCTGTGTTATACTGGGACCACTTGGAGTTCAAGAACTTCTTTGTGTTGTGTTGTCAGAGTCATTGAGAATTACTACATAATTCAGTTTGTGTACTGAGTGCGTGTAGGTAAATATTTGCACACTTTTGCAGCTTATGGTGCTGTCCCTTAATGAAGAATTGTTGACTCCTGTTTGACCAGGAATTTATAACTTGTTTCTACTCATAGAAAAGCAAAATGTAGATTATACTTAGTTTGCAGATGAAAATTTTGGTTGACTCGGCTATGGCTTATTGAAATCGCTTTATAATATTAGTTTCTGCCATAGTTCTAAATCTCCACAGCACTAAATTAATCATGATTATGAAACATCGGAAATATAAATTCCAATTTTATTAAAACGAAAGGACTATACAAATATTTTGGGTGTTTCCAAAGTTATTAGATTAAATATTTTTGATTACCCCCATTTTAAGTATTGAAATCTCAACCACTGGTATTATTGATCCATTTACTTTTAGTCTTGAAGCCATGTTTTCTTTTCTTTCTTTCTTTCTTTCTTTCTTTCTTTCTTTCTTTCTTTCTTTTTTCTTTCTTTCTCTCTCTCCTTCCTTCTTTTAGAGAAGATTGAATCTGACAACAGGCGGGATCTTTCTTTTCCTAACTTAACCACTGGCACGAAAGGTCCACACAAACTTTTATACCTGAGTCCATCTTTTTTTTATAAAGTTACAGGTTTTTAGCTGGGCATGCCTTTAATCCCAGGACTCCAAAGACAGAGGCAGGCAGATCTCTGTGAGATCAAGGCCAGCCTGGTTTACATAGTAAGTTCCAGGCCAGCTGGGGCTACAGGGAGACCTTGTCTGAAAAAATTACAAGTTTTTAGTAATTTTCATTAGTTTTCAAAAGTACTACAATAATATTCTTTCAAATATTGACCATTAAATATATAAATATCAGTTACTATTTTATCACATCTCTTACATCATTGTGTTAGGCCTTCTGTGATTAAAAATGCAAAGTAAATATAAAAATATAAATTCTCATTCGGGCTGACACAGTGTAATTCATTAAAATGTTGTGTTCAGTTTTCAGTCAGTGTCTAATTACAGTAACTATAAAAATAATGATTCTCCTAAGGTCTTAATAGCTTCCAAACTCTTCTTTTGAAAATATGCAATCTTATTTGTCATGTGGGTTCTGATCATATTCCCCTCTCCTGACAGATGGCGTGCATTCCTATAGATGTTATTCCTTTTTGATTTAAAGGATGTAATTAAGGAGCTCCACTTTTATATTCTTCTGACTTTTCCTTGCATCCATTAAAACTTTGGCTGGATTAGATCTCTTTATAACTTGGTGCCTATTCAGATACAATATTTTTATTACTGGACTAATCATATGTATATGTGTTTGTATTTTGTTTTCCTATACTTATAAAAGTTTTCAGCTCTTAGTATCATTCCTTTTTCACATTCTTGATGTCCTGTGAGTAGACTGTAATAATAGTTGCTGCCTAATGTGGATAAGGTACCATCAAATGATGTCTTTCTGTCTCCATGGATTACTCAAAGAAAATTATACATTTTTCTTTATTCTCTTTATTCATTTACATAAGACATTTTCTATTTTTAAATTTCTGTTAACATAGTAATGTCTAGCCTTAAAAAGCCTTCTCAATAACATAACTTTCTCTGTAATATCTCTATCTCTCAATCATCTACCAATTATCCATCATCTATCTATCATCTATCTGTCTATCCGTCTGTCTGTCTATCTATCATCTATCTATCTGTCTGTCTGTCTGTCTATCTATCTGACAGGATCTCACCATGTGGAACTGGCCTGGAGCTCACTATGTAGACCATGCTGACCTCAAACTCACAGAAATCTGTCTGCCTCTTCTACTTGAGTGCTGGGATTAAATGTGTGTGCCACCATACCTGGTCTCACTTTCTGAATAAATGTTTGTAATGAGAAGATTTATTTGTTTCCATTAGTCTCATAAATAATCTTTAGTATTGGCAATATGTGTATATGACTTAATAATTTAAATTTATATTAAATATAATTATTAACAACCATTTTTGGGGGGTTACATATATTATAAATACATATTATTATATATATTTCCAAAGCAAATATACAGTGTTCTGCTTAGTTAGTAATTTCTCTTAATATTTTACAATGCTACATTCTTCTAGGCTAGAAGGAGAAAATAAGGAGGTACTGGAATACAGGAGACAGCTAGATGCGCTTATCTGCTGGTTAACCAGGGTGGACACTGCTGTGCAGAAGATGTCAACCACTGAACTGGGGGAAAACTGGCAAGAATTAACAGTAAGTAGTTTGTCTCTAGATTTCCAGTGCACTCTGATGCAGGAACAGTATACTTTAGAGATAATATTACATGGCAGAAGACGTAAGAGAAAAGAAGCTTTGTACTTCATGGTAATTGTGGTGAATTTCAAAGAACTTTTTTAAAAAAAGACAAGCAGCTATAATTTTGTCCTGCAGGGGTTAAGCTTCAGTGACAAGGAAAAGATGAGTCATCATGGTCTCCATATTAGACTAGATGTTTCTAGATTATTTTAAAGTGACACTATATATGACTGTGGAGTAGAACTTTCACTTTTAGATTTGGAAGGCAATTATCTCGAAAATGCTGAGTGTTGTTAGTTAACTGACTGTGACTTGTGGTAAGCTTAGTGTTAGGGTTCAGCTGCCAGATTTTCATTGTTGATTTTTAGCCAACAGAAATTGTGCATAGTTGTATACACACACAATCTATAAAAATACATAAATATATGTAAATATCTAAATATATCCAAATCTCTACAAATGTTCAAGTCCATAAGCACTTATAATTTGTGTTAAGAATTGATATATTCCTGGATGCTAGGTGTGGTGGCTCATACCTTTAATCCTAGCACTCAGGAGGAAGAGGCAGGTGGATCTCTGTGAGATCTAGGCCAACCTGGTTTACATAGTGGGTTCCAGGCCAGCTGGGGTTACAGAGAAACCTGCCTCAAAAAACAAAACAAAACAACAACAACAAAATTATATAATAATTGTAGAACATCAAGCATAATTTTCATATTAAAAAAAGAAAAAAAAACAAAAAACCCTTGCCTCCTGTGCCTGATGACCTGAATTCCGTCCCCTGAATCCATGTAAAAAAGCCTGATGCTATGACATGCATCTGTAATTCCAGTACTTCTACCAAGAGATGCCCACAGGAGCATTGCCCAGAGCCTTGAGGGCCAGCTAGCCTGGCATACTCAATACAGCAAGAGAGACCCTACCTCCATAAGGTAGAAGAGGAGGACTGACTCCTGAAATACTCAATACAACAAGAGAAACTGCCTCCTTAAGGTGTAAGGGGAGGACTGACTCCTGAAAGTTTTCCTCTGGCTTCCTATGCACATGTAGACACACACACACACACCCAATACATGAAATAAAATTATAATAAAGAAATTGTGTTTGAGTGTGAATATATACACTCATGTGCAAAGTAAGTGTGAAAAGGTACTTAACTAATTTGGTAAGGAAATTTGGCCAAAAGAGGCATATGATTGAGGTATTTTGGGAAAGAAACTTTTATAATGATGGGGAATATTATATGGCAAATGTTTATTAATTTTTTTCTTAAAGTATAAGAATATCTAATATCTGAAAACGCCAGTAGCCTTCTTTGGTTGTCTCTTCTGTGAAATATTTGAGGGAGTTACAAAGGGAAGACAGCATGTTAAGATGTAGTAATAAGGTGGACATAAGAAATGAACATTAACTGAGCAATGTTAACAATAAGAGACTGTGTTGCGGCTGGAGAGATGGCTCAGTGGTTAAGAGTACTGCTCTTATACCCTTCTCCTATGGTCCTACCTCTCTCGAGCCCCTTTTTTCCCTTTATCCCCCAGGTTCCTTGTATTATTAGTAAGGGAGAAAGGGGGGAAATGGGGGCACCTTAAGTGGGAAAACCATGATGGAGGGGTGAGACAATGTGAGAGATAAACAATGCCTAGCTAGTTTTGCAAACCAGGGAGAACCATATTACTCCTACAACCTACTAACAAATTATATATAGCAGATCAAGAAATATATGTCTAGGTAAGGTTTATCTGAGAACAACTGGTCTTTGCCCAAGATTTATCTACATGACACAATGTAATTAAAAGTACCAGACTGGTGGAACTAACCTTCTTGGATGTTTAACATACATACTTTGAGGCCTATAATAATTTGGTCAGAGGGACATAAAGGACAGTTTTTGCTCCTTGCCCTCCTAGGTCGACTAGTTCCAGGGGACTATGAGCATCTCTCAAAATGTCCTGTAATTGTGGTGGGTCACCTGTCCTCTTGATCAAGAAGGCCGAGGAGACCCCACCAGATGGACTTGAACCAGAGTCCAGTCTACAAAGAGGAGGGTCAACACAGAGGAAACA